GAAGGAACTCAGCCGGTAGGTTGTTTCAAACATCTTGGAGAACTAACCACAGATCTTCTGTGGATGTAGGCTTCCTCATCCTTCTGTCTGTTCATGTCATCCCAGACACACTCGATGATGTTGAGATCAGAGCTCTGTGGGGGCCATACCATCACTTCCAGTTAGTCTTGTTCTTCTTTACGCTGAAGATAGTTCTTAATGACTTTGGCTGTATGTTTGGGATCACTCACGAAGGATTTTGTAAATTGATAAAAATAAAAAATCATTATTTATATTTCTGAAAGCATTCTTTGTTTACAGCATTTATTCACACCTGCATAAAACGTTTGCACAGTGCTGTATATATACAGCACATAATGCAAAATTGAAGAGTAGTAGGAGAATGTAGCAACGTGAGGGAAAGTGGTCATTATGTCCTCCAGCAACCTAAAGCAGCATAACTACAGAGATAGCTCAGAATATCCTAAGCCACTCTACCTTTAAGCTTTATCAAAAAACACCAAATATTTGCATATAATAACCATTTTTCCATTGTCTGACAATAAATCACACCAAACATTTGGGAATGTGTAGCCATCATGCCGTTCAGAAAGGAGACAGGTTCTGTTCCTGAGAGACAAACATGTTTTGGTGTAAAACATACATATCAACTCCAGAACAAAAGCAAAAGATCTTGTAAACATGCTAGCAGAAGAGTGTCATTATTTGAAATACTTCAGATGAGTCTGGTGAAGAACAAAGGATATACTGTATATGTGCAAAATAACGTCATTCCCATTGGTAAATATGGTAGAGGATCTATGATGTTGTAGGCCAGTTCCCCTTCCAATGTTCCTTGGAGTGTTATTAGACAACAAAAGCTCTTTGAAGTACAGGAAGGTATGTGTGTAGTTCTTTACAAACTAGGAAATTGCAACAAGAAACCTGTCAATATCTACAGTCAAGGCTATAAAAAAAAGAATTAATAAGACATAGAACTGTAAAAACAAGGTTGGACGAGGACCTACTGGCACAGTTAGCATGATGGTATGGAAGGTAAAAAAAAAAAAAATCTCCAAATCTCACTTTTAGAAAATTACAGTAAGCTTTTCAGTATGAGATTATGCTATTGCCAAAACGATACATTTATTTCAAGGCTTTTTTCACTTGACCATGGGTGGCAACATCTGTGGAGGTTGCTGTACTTTATATTACTGAATGTCTAAGACTGAACAGGAATGAGTGAAAAGGGTAAACAATGATCTGGAACTAAAAGGAAGGTGGGACAGGAGGTTTTGTGGAATTGGTGCATTGGCCCTAGTACTTTCTGTGCCTCTGACCAACAGTTCATGAAGACATAAATATTCCTGCAGTGAGACACCCAGGGGATTGGAACAGATGAAATGATATCTCCCTTTACTGACAACCCTCCAGGACTGGGATAAGTGGAATAGCAACAAGATGAACTTTTACGGACGCCGTTGGACATTTATCAAAGCTACTGACCTTAATGGCTCCCCCCAGACAGTGGCAGTGTATTGCTTGCTCCTTACTAAGGAATGAGGGGCATTAAAGGCACCTGACCAGGTCACCAGTTGTATTATTGAGTGGATTTGAACCAAACTTTGTAAATAAAAATAGAGGTATGTTTTTCCTTCCAGTTCACAATTACAGTATGTGCTACTTTGTTTAGGTCTTTCACATGAAATCCTGATACAGTACATTGAAGTTTGTGGTTGGTAATAATATCAAAAATATTAGTTTATGTTATCATTCTTATTTAATAGTTAAAGGTTTTAATTTTGCGTTTTGAAAATGAAGCACATGGTTATTGCAAAACTTGCTTAAAGATAAATAATACAAAAAAACTAAAATGTATTTATATGTCAAATGTCAACATTTCATTTGCCTTTTTACCTCATTGTTTACAAATGATTTATACCCTTCGGGGCAAAACTCAAGGAAACTTTTCTTTCACTCTTCAGAAAGAGAAAGAGAACACAAAGTGCAACACAATTGAAGCCAATATTTCAATTCTTTGAATAGTTTTTCTTCCCTAAGAATCTTCAAATGCTTCAGAGGGGTAAACCGCGCAGTAAAAAATTCCTGGGAGGGAAGGACTGTCGACAGCCTGTCAAGTTCAAAGCAATCATCAGACCGGGACATTACCTCTATAGTTCTGAAGCAGTAAACAATGCAGTCAAGACTTTTCATGCACATTAGCAAAGCCCCTAATGAAATGTGTGATCTGTGTGGAAACATGAATAAGCATGAACATGTCATATTATTTCAAAAGTGTTAGTCATTTCCCGTTATTTATGAAAATCAATTGAGAGACCGACCTTAGGGTATATGCAAATTCTTGTTCTGAGAGAAGTGCATTTAAGATCGCATAATTGTGGTGTAATTTGGGAAATGTGAGTTTAAATTTCTCTACTTTTTTTTTTTATTTTGCTATGGGCCACAGGCATTTCATCCTTGTAAAGGATGATGTTGCTGTGGATTTTGTGGAAAGGATAGTGTTTTTTTTTGGATGTATGGGAGATGCTTTGCTTAATAATACCACACTCCAACCTAACTTAAAGCAAGAATACAGAACAAACAAGATATTCTGTCTAATTCTGATTTCTCCGCTTCATGAAACAGGCTGAATTCAGTGCTATTTTGAAAAGATTTCTGACACTTGTTTCATCTACTGACATTTAAATATCTCATTAATACTGCATCAACCACGCCTCAATGAAAATAGACTTTTATGAGATTTACGTCAAACTTTAGCTGTTAGGGAACTGTAGGGATTGAGAGCAGAAAATACATGACACCGGTTATTTTAAAATATTTATTTTTCAAGTATGGGTTTTGGATCTGGTTATGCTTTCGTTTCATGTTTTTCTAGTTATGTTTCTATTAGTTTGTATTCTTGAATTCCTGTTTTGCTCATTCACATTTGTTCTCTCCTGTCAATTAAGTTTATTCGGATCACCTGCCCCTAGTTAGTCTGTCTCCTTGCTTCACCTGGTTCACACTCCATATATACACACCTGTCCTGTTTATTCCTCGCAGAAACATTTTTCAGATCATGTCAACTCTGTCCTGTGATTTATGCCAAGCCTGTCTTGCCAGCCTGCTCATGTCTGTTTTTGCCTGTCTTGCCTGTCCGTTTTTTGTTTTGGTTCCTGCCTCCTCCTCCGTGAGTGAGTTTTTGTTTTTTATTCATTAAATCTTTTTCACTTACCGTCATGCTGCCTGCTAGTCTGCATTCTGGGGTCCTACGTTGCTCAAGTCCTAACAACATGATTGCTTCTTTAAAAAACAAACCAGTTTAGTTCAGTTCCAATTAAATACTTTTCATTACAAGATATGTTAGTAAAAATTATTCTAATATCATACAATCCAATACAGTCAGATTCAAATTCTAATTCAATTACACTTCAATTCCATACAATTACAAAACACTACAGTCAGATTTAGCACATTATCCACCCATCCATTTTCTAAACCCATTTAATCCTTACAGGGTCATGCTGGTGCCTATCTCCTCCAGTTGTTGGCTGAGGGGCAGGGTACACCTGGGACAGGTCGCAATCACAAGGCATCGCAGAGACACACAGGACAAACAACCATACTTACACACACTTAATCTAACGGCAGTTTATAGAGACCATTTAACCCAACATGTATGTTTTTAAACTGTAAGCAGAAGCTGCATTATCCAGAGAGAGCCCAAACATGCATGAGGAAAACATGCAAACTCCATGCAGAAAGATCCCACTCGTTTTTAGCCCAATTTTAGATGAACAGACATGGTCCATTGTCATTCATTATCTGGATAAACATTGTAATTCTCTCCCCCAAAAATTAAACTGGTGTTTACCAGCCTTTTTCCACTCCTCTGTGTATGGCTGGTGCTTTATTTCCTCTGTTATTTCAAACAAGCTACATTACCTTTAAAGGGATAGTTCAGAATTTTGTATATGAGACTCTGTATACTTTCAGTAGAAAACGTTCTTGGAGTCTTGGAGTTGGTGCTGGAGGATGAAGGTAACAGCTAGGCAGTGAGGAGTCAGGACATGAGCTTAAATTTCCTTCTTAAAATAAGTCAAATCTTAAAAATTTCAGAGCGGTTTTTGCAAATACTATTTTATTAACCTTCAAACTGTCAATTGTTTTGCATTAGAAAGTCATTTACACAGAAACCAGTGATCATTTATATGAGAAATGGAGGTAGAAGATAGTAACCAATGGTATTCATAAAACCTGAACATATAAATGTCACTATGTGATGTAGAAATAAAGCAGCAATAAGTTAAAATATTATAGTGGCTGAAGAGAATATCAGTCTATTGATATTACCTGATTCTATACCAGAAAGGCATTCGGACCAGAAAGATTTCACACGAGTATGTATTTCATACAGAAATGTGGCACACAGCCTTCTGCATGCATTTACTGTGTAAATAACCATCAGCTGCTTAAATACGCACCCCCACCCGCCCACCACCACACCCTCGTAATGATGGTGTGGGTAAAGAAAATGGACCAGTTGAGTTTCTTGATAACTGATCCCTTACTTGTGTCCACTCTCTTGATCCAATTTTCCTAAAGCTAAATAAACTTGTTAGTTATTGCTCTTTGTCAGACCCTGAGGTCAAACCGTGTGCTCAGCCACAGATTCATTTTCATCATTAGTAGTTCCCCTACTTATGGTAGATAGAAAGAGATCGAAGTGAATTTCTAGAAAGGTAAATAAATCCTGAGATCAATTGAAGGCGAAGAAACAATGTTGCATTTTCGGACAAAAAATCTGTTGGATACAATTTGTATCTTATATTAACTGCCCACAATTGATTTCAAACAGCCAAATTCAACAAAAATTAAACTCCTTCTGGCTAGCTATTATCCTTCCACAATTTCTTCACTTTGACTTCCTGCTGTCAGATATTTTTCGTCTGAGCCATGAAACCACATTTTTGTTGTAGAGTGAAAACATATTTTATATAGAATACTTTCAATCTTGGGGCTGCAAGGTGGCGCAGTTGGTAGCACTGTTGCTTTCCAGCAAGAAGGTCCTGGGTTCAACTCCCAGCTGGGGGTCTTTTTGCATGGAGTTTGCATGTTTTCCCTGTGCATGGGTTCTCCCTGGGTACTCCAGCTTCCTCCCACAGTCTAAAAACATGACTGTTAGGTGTGAATGAGTGTGTGCATGGTTGTTTGTCCCGTGTGTGTCTGTGTTGCCCTGCCATGGACTGGCGACCTACTGGCTTCCCCGTGACCCACTATGAAGGAAGTGGTAGAAAATGACTGTCTGACTTTGAATTGTCAGTTGTAAAAACAAAACATCCCCAAAAATAAAGTTTTTGCTATTGAAAGATGCACAGCTGCAGAATGGTGAAGGGGTAAAATATCCAGCACTGTCCTCTTTTTTACAAATACATCTTTCTATGACATATCTCTGCTACATGTAGGAGATCATTAACAATAATAACTTTACAGAACCTCACAAAGAAACAGGTTTTGATATTGATATGTTTTTCTGCCCAGGGCACAAAAACACAGGGATGCATCATAAGAACAATTTTTCCTATTATGTATCTGTGTCCCCCTAATATGAGCCCACTCTGCTATACACCATGGCTGTCTAATGACAGAGAAGTTCCTATCAGATTAATTCGTGATTTATTTTTTTTTCTTCAAGGAATCTAGACTCCATTTGACTAACTTTAATTTAAAATCATAAATACTTCAACAACAAGATTAAGATCTAGGAGTGAGTTCTGAAGTGGTGAGGCCTTATCTATTGTTTCACCTCAACAGTGGAAAAAACGTACCCCTGCACTTTTGAGAGACTTTTCCAGTCTAAAACCATTTTTTTTAATCTCAGAAATACTCTATTTGTTTTCATTATGTTGACATTTTGTTTCCCTTTATATTTATCTTCCAGATAGCTTCATACAGGACAGATTTTTTTTTAGATCTGTGCATCTGTTTCTCTCTAAAAAGATTCTCCCTCTCCATCCCCTTGTGTGTTGGGTTGAGGGTGGGTCAAACAAAAAGAGGGACTCGCCTATAGGGTTCCACATTCATATAAGCTCCGCCTGCACGTTTTTTGATTAATAGATATAAATGTGTTCTGCATGCAAGCAAATGGGTCATCCAGCCAACTGAGACAGAAAAGCAGGAACACACCCCAGCTATAAGATGCTTCGCATCAGTTTCAAACGTATTTATTTTAAGAATGTTAATTTTTTTTTTAATCATCATAAAGTCGTATTCGTGCCTCTTTTTGATACCTGCTGCAGTTTATACGGTAAAATTGTTTTACCTCATTCCCAGGAACTTGCTATAAAAACCCTGCCAAGCTTTAAACCTAAAGCCCTACTCCCTTCTGAACTGTAAAATAAGGCATTTATCTAGTGCTGCCCATGGAAGTATCAAGTTGAGGTATGGTGCTGAAGCTCGCCCGTAAATTATGAAACTCCAGTGTTTGGTTTGTTTGCGCTTGTGTGTGCTGACTGCGAGAGACAACGCGGTGGTGCTTCTTCTCTCCTCCTCCTTTATCTTTCCATCCCTGGATCTCGGCACTCCCTGGGGTGTGTCCACATCTATGGAAGCGCCTCTCCTCTCCTCCCTTATTCCTGCTGCTGTGCTGCCGCCTCCTCCCTCTGCTCTGCCTCTATATCTGCATCAGCTGCAGAGATTGCTCTTGTTTTTTCACCTCCACCTGCCTTGCTCCAATCCTGATTCAATCTCTCTTTTTAGGAAACATAAGTGAGTTTCAGGAACGACCAGCCACTATTCGTCACTTTGGAGTATCTAGGACCGGATGGGGTAGGAGTTCTGATCACTCACCGCAGCATGCCTCCCCTCCCTTCCTCCTCCTGCTCCCGTCTCTCTCTCTCTCTTCCTCTCCGTCTCTCTCCTCAGTCTGCAGCCTCCGACAGCAGCCGCCGCATCATTTTTCAGAGCAGCTGCCCCCTCCCTCCCTCTCGCTTTCTCTCACCCACCCCGTCCTCGCCTCTTCTCTCTCCGTTACCCTTCTGCTGTTCGCACCTCCGTGGGAATGCATAGGAGGGTAGACGACTTGCAGAATCATCTTTTTAAAATATGTTTTATATATTTTTATTTCCTCTCATCATTAAGACAGGGATTTGAGACCTATGGGAAAAATCCGATCGGGGGTGGCCAGCGCAAGGAGACTGGATCTGGATCAGCTGGATTTTGCCAGCAACAAAAATTTCACCCTCATTCTGATTAGCAGATCGCTTCAGATCCGCGCTGAGCTGCCTCGTTTCAGTTTTCGTGTCTCTCACCCAGCTTGGATTAATTATTACGGTCATCTGAAACGAGTGGTCCTGGGCGTTTAGATGAAAAGTTGAAACAGCCTGCAAAGACAAGTGAAAACGGCAAGCTTTTTTCTTCTGCATATATTTAAACAAATAGAATAAAATGAACTCGTTTGACATCTAGGAGCCAAAGAGGTTTGCATTTTTAAGGACCCCCATGCGGCTGATAATCATCCAATATATAGAGGAGAAGGTTGCAGGCGCGTCCTGGCTGGCTTGTTGTTGGTCTTAGTGCGCTCACATCCACATGGATTTACATTTCCAGTCTTAAGGATCGATATAAACATATTTGGGACGCCTTTGTAACACTGGAGTGAAGCTTTCTCGGATTTATCATCGCGTCATTTGCGCCGAACTACGGTGAAGAGCCCCTTTCCCCTCCTAACCCCCCTGCACCATCCTCTTGCTTGGCTCACCTGTCCATAACCTGTATGCTCCTGGGAAGTTGGAATATCATCATGCATTTGTGCTTTTGTGCGTGAGCGTTTGTGTGTGAGTGTGTGTGTGTGTGAGTTTGGTTTCTTGTCCGCCAGAGGGAGTGTAGGTTATTTTGCTTTTGAATGCATTTGAGTGCACTGCTAGCTTTTAATTAAAACGTGACTGAGAGGAGTGTGTCTGCTTGGTTTTACATCTGTGCATGTAGGTATAAAAAGCTATAAACATTCTGTGTGTAATCGTCTAAAATGTGCAGCATTCTTTCTGCACCACATCTTCTTTACATATGCCTGTGTATCATCAGGCCACCTGTTTGACCTCCCAAACACTCCGAGAGACAAAAAAGTGGTGGCAGGATGAGTGAACACTCTGGTGCAAGCACTCTGGCAGCCATGACGCTGGAGGAGCCAGGGGCTGAACAAGTGTCCCCTCGAGCTCCAGGCCCCCTCCGCTGTGGCCCGTGTGCTGTGTGGCCTCGCCAGCAGACATGGCTGTGTGCGGTACCCTTGGTGATGGGATTTGTGGGATTGGGACTCAGTCTGATGCTGCTCAAATGGATTGTGGTTGGCTCTGTGCAAGATTATGTCCCCACAGATCTGGTTGATCCCAAAAGTATCAATGGGCAAGACCCCATATTTCTTTCAAAACCCAGTGCCATGCCCAAGGGGCCTGACATTTCCACGGCTACCACTTCTTTAGCTGCGTCTGCAACAGCACTGGTGTCAACAACCACGCTGCTTGCAGTTGACGGTACTGTCCCAGCGCCAAGAACTCGATCCAGTCCACCAGCAAACCATTCTGCAAATGGCAGCAACTCCAATGGTGACGGCAACCGAGCCCCCCACCTGCACAACCGAGTCGGCACCCGAGTCAGCGGACCACAAGTTACCACCTCTGCCACCCGTCTCACCCCTTCGCCCAGTGGTAAGGAGGTCACGCCTCGCAGTACTGTCAGGAAAGGCAGCAGCACTGCCAATGGACGCAACGGCGCTGCCAACTCAAAACCAGGCCAGACTCCTCCTACCATCACAACCACAACATCCACCACCAAGACAGCTACTGCTAAGGGGACCACCAAGGTACAGCCAACCACAACCTCCCAATCGGCAGCCCCGATGAAGCCCACATCCCGCTGGAATCAGGGGCGCCCAGCGAAAGGCCCGGCCACACGACCACACCACCGCTTCAGAACACGTAAGTCCAGATTTGTGGGTCACTGGTGGTGTAAGAGTGAGTGCAGTACTGTGAGGTTATGTGCAACTCGTGATGAGTGTGTCAGAATAGCTCTTGGACCTCTATGGAAATAAGTACAGTTTTTCACTGTAATGTCCACTTCCTGTACCAGTGTCTCCCTATTATTTCTAGTAGACCTTGTAACAGCTTTATCTCTTGGATTAATCACATAATTTATATATTCTTCTTTATCCACATGGATAGTGGATACTCCAGTAGCTTAATATTAATCGTATTCATTAGCACAGGCTGATATCAGGGGATATTCCCTGTGGTTTCACCCCTTTCATCTTTATCTTTACCTTATGCATTAATCCGATGTGCATCTTACCTCCAGAGGAGTTTTCTTTCTTATTTCCACAATTGTAAAAGTACCTTTGAAGACAGGGCTTTATCTAACAGATTAGATTTGGTTTTGTTGTGGCCCGATCTGAAATGTTGAAGTTCTGCAATATGTGGTCTGACCAAGGATGGTGTATTTATGTCATAAAAAATAAATACCTCTAGTTTGTAAGGTGTCGAGGTAGAGAGGTTAGCTTTCACCTCCTGTCTTGAGGAATCAGATATAGCAAGGCCACATATCCTATTTAGCAGGATGTCGCAGGTACTGCTTTACACTGCAGGGAGATACGGGGATTGAGGCAGGGAGGGGGAGGTACTGAGGGAAAGTAAGATGGATACAGGGAAGAGAATAGGGTATCAGAGGACAAACGAAGAGGGAATAGAAAAGGAAGGAAAGCCAGACAAACCCTTTCAAAAAACAGCAAAGTTAAAGAGGATGGCAAATGAAGGACTCGAATGCGAGAAGAATAACAAAGCAGGAGAATGAAGAGAGGGGGCTGCAAGATTGGAGGAAAAAAACAGATGGAGGGGGCTAAGTAAGGGAAACGCTTGAGGGAGATAGAGGGTACAAAGCAGGAGAGCTGAGAGTTTTTGCATATTTTGTATTGTGCTAAAGAACGAAGGCTCCATGATTGTTAATTCCACGAGGAACATGTTTTTAACATCCTGCTAAATTTCTGTGAGATGTGGGTGGGGCAGGATGTGAGTGGTGTAATGAGGAGTGAATATGACTGGGTAGAAATTAGTTTTT